AGAGATTTTCACTGTAGGGCGCGTGCGCTCGCCAGACAGAGAGAGACATAAAGACAGAAAGCGAGAAATCACCCCCCGGGGGGATGGTCACACTGCAATCCCTTCTCCTCCATTCTCCTCTCGGGATCTTGGGCATGCACGCACACGCGCCCGGCGTGAGTTTTAAGCCACCGGGTCCGGGACACGAACCGCGGTCGACTACATGGGAGTCCAGCGACATAGCCATTATGCTAACTGCTGGTTCCCAGGGGGCCTCCAGCATTTGTAGTGACAATGGATGCCAAGGCAGAGGAAGGGTACATAGCTGTCCACTGTCTCTTAAAGGCATCTGCCCAGGAATGACACACATCTGCTCATATTCCATGGGCCTTAGCTAGTCCCACCTCATATGAGCAGGTGCAGCGAGCCCAGGAGAACATCCGGGGTGGGAATAGCAAGGAGCAGTCCTGAGGGTGACATTTGGCATACGGGTCACCTTGTAACTGATGAGTCATGTCGACGGTTTCAGTAGTGATTGGAAGGGATCTGAAATCAGACTCTCCCTTCTCCTTCGTATTGTATTTCTTTGTGTCTCCTCAAAATCAGTGGCAACTTCTTCCCATCAGCAGCCCTACTCCCTGGCAGGTCTTCCACTGTACTTGAGGACAAAGCCCTTGGGTGAAATGAGAGTTTAATTTGCAGATAAGGAAGATAAGGAAGAAAGTGAATGTATTAATACAAATGCTACCCTTCCACGGTGTAAAATGTGGAGGGACAAAGCAGTTGTCGCAAAAATGCTTCTAGCCAAACCTCATTTGACATGTAAGCCTCCCTCCCTCCCACACACTGCCTGTCATTAAATCCCAAGAAAATAAAACCCCTGGAGGGCACACGTTTGCTGGGAAACGTTTGCTAGGAAGACAGGTGGGCTTGCTGAGGTCCTGGAGGGGCTGGGCTGGCCCACTGGGGCTGCCCTGGGCTCTTTGTGCATGTACCCACAGGCTGAATAGATGTTAGTCACAGTCACCAGGCTCATTGCTGCCCAGGTGCCTCAACAAGATGAGTCCTCATCTTCTGACTTTGGGGCTGAGAATTCCTTTTCTTTGCCACTTGTTTATTTTTAAGCCAGCTAGCTAACCAGCCTTCTTTCTTCCTTCCTTCCTTCCTTCCTTCCTTCCTTCCTTCCTTCCTTCCTTCCTTCCTTTCTTTCTTTCTTTC